TATATCCTGCTTTTGATATAGTACTTCAATAACAGCCAGATGTTACCATTACCATGGGTAAGACATGATTGTTGATTTAAAGGTAATATTCTTCCAACTTTTTTTATCACACTTGCCCCATCAGTTATAATATCAAAAATATCTTTTTGCAAATCAAGTACATGTTGTGCAAGCTTTTATGCATGCAAATTAATATACCATCATGCAGGGCTACTTGAGCTACCCGGGGTTACTTGAACCCAAAAAAATAAAATGTTTATTTATTTGTTTATGTTTTATAAAATTATTTGGTATGAAAGTAAATAAGTTAGTTATACACTTACTCAAATTAAGTAACATTAAAAATAAAAAAGGGTTAAATTTTTTTTGCAAAAAGTGATTAAAAAATTTTTTATTAAAAGGAAACAATAATAATGGTAAAAATTTAATGTAAAACTTTTGTCTGTCTAGACATAACCAAAAAAGAAACTATTTGACAGCATTTCCTAAAAGAAGTTTCAGTTACTACAAAATGTAGCAATTATAATTGTCCTTTAATTTTATTATTTTGATAAAAAGATTATTTTTATGTTTGAAGTTTAAAATTGGGGCTACTTGAACCCAAATTTCATTGTAACAGCTTATGTTTGAAAATGATTAAATATATATTTCATTAACATTAAACTCCAAAGTGAAATAATATATTTAAAAGGAGTTGATATATTTGTTATTTTAACTATGTTTTTAATATTTGTTAGGTTATAAAATGTATACCTAAATAATGTTGATGATTGGTTAAAGCTATTGTTATACACCTTTTTGCGTATACTTCATGCTATCATAACTGGTTCTACCAGAATGGTTTGCAGATTTAAAAGAAAATTAAGATCCTGAGCTTACAAAGACCATACTGATCAAAACTTAGAGCAAGTCTGTATTAATATTGAACGTGGAGCTATGAGTCAATGATTTGCTGAAGAACAATTTAAATCAGCCGCTCCAGCATTAAGAGAGCGCTTTGAAGATGACGCCTTACTATCACAAAAAACATGCAGGGCATCCAGCTGTCTTCACACCTGAAGAAGAACAGTCATTTTGTGATCACTTAGATAAAGCTTCAATTTTTGGCTACCCACTGATCTCATTTGATCTTCGAATTATTGTGAAATCCTATCTAGATCGATTAGGGAGTGATGTTCAATGTTTCAATGAAAATCTCTCAGGTGTCAAATTGGTAAAAGCTTTTATTAGAAGACATCATTAACTATCCGAAAGATTTGCTAGAAACCTCAAATAGGCAGGGCTTTTTACACTATAGGTTTAAGTAGCCCCACAACAGGGGCTACTTGAACCCAATCTTAACCCCCCTAAAAAGGGGGGACAGAAGTCCACCCAAATATTTTTTTCTCTACAATCATCATTACTAATTTATTAGTCCATAAATAAGCAACAAAAAGTTTTTTTTACATTGACATAAATATGAGAGAGAACCACAAACATCAAATATGTATCAAATTTGGGTCCAAGTAGCCCCGTATGATGGTACATAAAGCAATGGTTATGTAGTGATGTCCATTCATCAAAAGATAAAGAAACTCTTTCTCCTACACCATATACCATTAGAATGATGTATGACGTTGAACAAAATCCCATCAAGGGCTTTTAATTGTGCAAGTGTTGCAGGAAGTGATTTTTTTTGGCTCCAATATCAGAAAATAATTGGTTAACATTTTGGTTACTTTTTGTTGGTGGTTCATCTTGTGTGTTTGCTAAAATAATAGTTTGCCCTTTTTCTTCTGATAAGAAATATTTCTAAACCGTAGAATTACTTACTTCACAAATTTTCAATATAAAAAATAGTCAATACTTAACCAAAGAAATTTTAATTTGAAAATGTTCAACCAAAAAAGATTTAAACAAAAAATACCAGGATAAAATGCTTAATTCTGGGATTTCCAGATTGTTAAAAACTGCAGAATCCTAAAAATTCAAGATCATGGGATTCACAACCCTAATTGGATGGAACAGAACCAATTTGTGGAAAAAATTTGTCTACACCAAACTCTAATACCAGCTCACTATGAGCTAAAATCAGGTTGTTCTATTCAGAAAAGGCCAAAACAGTTGGTTTATTTGAGGCAGCATGGAATCAAAAAAGACTGGATTATATTAAGAAGCTAGATAAACTTTAAAAACAAATGGAGATGAGAAACATGGATAAGATAAGATACCAATCTGAGCACTCAGATTGAACTCTCACTAATTTTTAAACTGATAGTATTCCATCTAACTTTAATTCAAGTCGTTTTTCAAATGTAATAGCAATTTTTAACAAAATTTAATTTAAATAAATATTTGTTGCTATTTTAAACTTCAAAATATTTGATATAATTTGTTATCTTTCTATTAAGATGTAGTTAAAACTCTTATGTGAATGTAAAATTAGCCAGAACCATGGTTAGATTTCAAATGAACTATGAACTATAATTAAAATCCAAAGTTTCCTCTTTTTTATTGATTG